ATCTCACGCGCATGCACGTGCGCTTTGCTCTGATTGGCTGAAACTAAAGTCTCAATATCTTTCTTATTTTTTGACGAAATCCTTTGAAATTTTGAAAATAGCCATGCATTAGGATATCTTACAACGTGATATATAGCAATTATCATGAAAACACGTGCATGCACGTGCGCTGCAATCTGATTGGCTTAAACTTTAAATAGCTATAACTCCTTTGATTTTCAACCAAACAGGATGGGATTTGGAACATAGATAGATACACTGGACTACTACAAGAAGGTATGGTCACCATGCACATGCATACACGTGCATGTATGTGCGCTGCATTCTGATTGGCTGTAACTTTAAACAGCTATAACTCCCTTGGTTTTCAACCAAACGGGGTGGGATTTAGAACATAGATAGATGTAACGGACATCTACAAGAAGATATGGTCACCATGCTCATGTATGCACGTGCGTGCACGTGAAATGAGCAAAATAAAATAAAAGAACACTTGAATGAGCGTATCTTTTTATTACTTTTGGATTAAATGCTTTAATATTTAGTATATAAAAATATATAGATTGTGTAGACAAGATGATATGGTCATTACGCACATGCATTCACATACGCACTCAAAATTTGAATGAACTTTGTACACTTCTGGGTAAACGTTATTAAAGTCTCAAATGCATCGAGTTTGTCTTACTTAATGAAGCTTACAGGGAATATGGCACCAAAAGGGAGTTGGGGAGCGTTTGGGGAACATCTGTAACGGTCCCCGTTACAATTAGCACTAGTTATTATTATTATTATTATTATTATTTTTCTTCTTCTTCCTGGGTACTTTTTTGTCCGGGAATGATCTTGTAAACTGTTCGTCCGATGTAGGTAAAACCTTTTTAGGGTCAGTAGACATGTTATGTAGATTTGCGGAATAAAGGTCATTTTGCGCGCACGTGCTTGCAAGAGCGCGCACGTGCAACACGTGAAATGACCAATATAATGGATATTGCCGTAACTTTTCTATTTTTTGATGAAATTTTTTGAAACTCATAATGTAAGGATACATTAGTAGTATAGACAAGCTGGCATGGTCAAAATAGCAAGAACTCACGCGCATGCACGTGCGCTTTGCTCTGATTGGCTGAAACTAAAGTCTCAATATCTTTCTTGTTTCTTGTCATAATCCTTTGAAATTTTGAACATAGTCCTACATTATGAAGATCTACAGCATGATATATAAGAATGTTCATGAAAGCACGCATGCGCGTGTGCTGCAATCTGATTGGCTGAAACTTTAAATGGCTATATCTCCTTTGTATTTTGACGAAATGCTTTGAAATTTAAAATATAGTCATGCATTAGGATATCCTACAATATGATATAGCAAAAAAATCATGAAATTACGCGCATGCACGTGTCCTGCAATCTGAATGGCTGAAACTTGAAATGGCTAAAACTCCCTTGTTTTTCAACCAAACAGGATGGGATTTAGAATATAGATAGATATAGAGGACTCCTACAGGAAGGTATGGTGATCATGCTCGTGCACGCACGTGCGTGCATTTCGAACGAGTGAAATTTAAAAAACCTTGAATGAGTGATTTTTAATACTTTTGGACTGAATGCTTTAATATATAGTATATTAAAATGTATAGATAGTGTAGACAAGATGATATGGTTATATCGCACATGTATTCGCATGCGCACAGGTGTAAAGCTAAAATTTAAATATAATTGGTATCCTTCTGGGAAAACGTTGTTAAAGTCATAAATGCACAGAGGTTGTCTTATTTAATGAAGCTTACAGGGAATATGGCACCAAAAGGGAGTTGGGGAGCGTTTGGGGAACATCTGTAACGGTTCCCGTTACAATTAGCACTAGTTAAAACTGATAATTAATTTTGAAGAATTTCTTCCTTAGAAAGGGAAGTGTGAGTATAAGTAGGATTACCACTTGTAGAATTAAATCCAAGTTCTTCTAAAAACAATTTATATAATGAGCTTTACAAACAAAGACAATGTTGTTACCTGCTTTGTCGGCAGGGACCAGTACGTACTGATCATGTAATCTAATTCTTTTTTCACTTCTGGAATATTGAACACAGAAGGATAGATGGTTGTCATATTTCCCCTCAATCTTTTAATACGCGTCTTTAACATGTTTAACATGAATCTAATACTTACATTTAATCCATTCTGACAAGGTGTCAACTTCTTCTTTTTCATATCCGGCCCTTCGTCTGGCGTAATTTTCAACAGAATTCATAAAATTTATGTAATTCTGACGCCAGTTGAAGGATCGAGGTTCCAGACCTGCCTACCCTTCCTTCCGCTTTTGGCGTAATTCTTCCGCTTTTTACCATACAATTACGCTATTACGCCTCTTATATTAATTGTACTCTTTTAATATTTTGGTTAAAATTCCATTATGAACGTCTAAATTTAGAGTTAAAGTACGTCATGCTGAAATGAAATGAGAGAGAAGTTCTTGTAAAAGTAATTAAAGAGGACCAGTTCCATAATGTACGTAATATACCCACTAGTTACTTGTAAACTGGTATGGCGAAGATTCGGAAGACGACGATAAGGCACTACTTTCGTTAACTTTTAAACGATATTACAAAACGTACAGCCAGTTCTATGCTCAATTAAGTTTATTTTAACATGCTGAGAACAAGATAGAGAAATGAGAGTGTTAAAAAGATAAAACACAATGTTATAATGTGAGATTTGTTTTAACATTCAAATGAAAGCCTTCAATTAAGTGATTTGAAACAAATTGATCAAATGCTCCATTAACATGATGAAGGGTGTACAGTTGAATTGAGTGTGATATAGGATACTGGAATTTTACAACACTTTTTTGCCAGCAGATGATTCGAAAAATTAAGAAATGTTTATACCAGTTTTGTTTAGTAATGTACAATTTCAGTTGTTCCATATATTTAGGGCCTTTTATATCTTTCAGTTCTACGTATGAACAATATCCAAAAGGGAGTTAAGTTATTGACAAACAATGTGATGAAACAAGAATATTAACAGTCGTGTTTAAAGTCATCAGGTTTTTGGTTGATACAATAATCTTATCAGGAAAAAACAATCTATTATTGAGGATGCCGTTTACTCAGGTTTCAGAGAACAGAAAGAAAATTTTATGAAGCATAATATGTTTAATCAAAACTTCTTCTAAATGGATAAAATAATTAAGTTTTAATTGTGATGAAGAAAAAAAGTATGGTCTTTTAAATCTCTTACGCCTAAATATATACGACTTGTAAGCAAATATACTTTGAATATTTCATGTAGTCAGAAACCAGAGAAGAATGCTACATTAGTATACACTCTGAATTGTCTGCTGATTTTATTTTTCCCTTATAATGACAATGAGCACGCAGCGGTAGTGTCTGGTTAGCAGGGGATTCTCACTCGTCCATGACATCTGATCCCACCTCTGAAGTCTCGGAGGTCCGTGTTATTCTGCTCCTGTTTTGCATTGTTTTTATGGATTCTGTACTGACTCAAGCCTGAATACTGTTCGTTTTTTAAATATTTCATTTATACAAGCTCTGCGTTAGAAAATGAAAGTGCAAGCTTTTTTGACATCATAAACAACTGCCTTTTTCATTGCAAATAAAACTTTCTTACATGTACCTTGTCATTTCCAAAATTACTTTGTTAAAAAATATTCTGATTGAACAAACAAGTACTTTTCAGTTGATAACTTAATATTAGATAAATATTTGAATTTCTGATTGACAATATCAATGTTGTATTTAGAGATTTTGTCATCCAACAATCTATCAAAATTCCCATATGTTACAAATTGTGCCCTTTTAAGCAGACCTATTTTAGTATTGATATGAAGCAATTTTTTTTTTCAAAATCTTGAGAAATCACATGAGAAGAAAACACTTGCTCTGGCCCTCAACTTAACATTTAGTTATATCAGCAATGCACATTTACTATTATTTAAGATTAGCTAGCTACATATGCTGTCTCAACTTTAAATAAGAGAAACCACATGGTCCGATACATCTGTTTCATATTATAATATTTTACTCTAAAAAGACGTCCATGGTAACCTAACAACAAAACTTTATGTAAAGGAGTTGACTTCAACTTTTCTATCATTAGCTTCCCTTATCAATGTATCAGTATACCACAATCATCTTCATAAGTGCTTACATCTTCCGGTTGATTTGGTATACAAAAGTATGCTATATCCACGAAAACGTTCCGAAACAATGAAGGATATGGAAGTATCGAGCAATATTCAAAATCAGAGTTCATAAAACAATACAAAATAGGGACAGAGCAAACACGGACCTCTAAAACAACAGGTGCCATGGAGGAGTGAGCATCCCCTGCTGACTGGTCACACCCGCCGTTTTCTCCTTGTCATGATCGGGAAATAACGGAAAAATCCGTCGTCAATTCAGTGTAGACTAGCAATTAGTATGAAAAACATCAGTCAGCATAAAACTCTATGATAAATTGTATTTGCTGACAAGGTCATTTTATCGATCAAAGAACATACGAAATGATGACTTTAAACAGGACTGCTGATATTCCTGTTTCATCAACTTGTCTGTTAATAATTTTACTGCGTTTTAGAAATTGTTCATACATAGAGCATGTTCTTGCGTATCGATTCAACTGAGATATATACACTCCGTATGCAGGTGACGAAGGTATATTGCGGCAAAATTAAGGGAAGTTGACGCTAATAATGGAGCGCAATTGATACCCATGGGAATTCCAAGAGATTGTTAGAATACCTGGTCTCCAAAAACCACGTAGATATTGTCAATCAGGTTTTAAAGGGTTTAAATAACAGAAATGAATTATAAGGCAAAATCAAACGAGACTTTGGTTACATTTTCATTAAAGGATTTTAAATGTTGGTTAGGAATACTGGAAAACACATGAAGAAAAATTAAAGAAACACACCTCAAAAGTTTACCATGCGTTTCTTTTAGCTTATATAATTATGCAAATAATTCTCTTTTCACCAGAGACAAACTTTTGGCAGAAGCAAAGCAGGCTGTACAAAACATCGTGAGACCAGCATTTAAAGAATTGGCTGAATATATAGAAAATGTACGTGGATGCATTTGTTTTAAAAGAATTATTATTGGTATTCATGCCGTCCTTTTGAATAACAGCAAAGTTGAAATTCGTTTACATTTTATTTATTGTAAAACGTTGTAATATCCAATAACACCTTCAAATCTGAGTTCCAGAGACTTGTACACTGGCGTACTCTGTGACATTTGTAGGATTATTTGAAGCACACACGCTCTGATGTAGCGGCCTCCTCCCTCCCTAATGGTCAGGAGCTATATCAGGCATGTCTGGATTTTCATCTTTCTCTATCAATGACCCCAAAGGAAGTGTTTAACATAGGTCAGGAAGAGGTGGAGAGAATCACGCAGGCAATGAAAAAGATCACCCAGGAGGAAGGCTATGGAACAGATATAAGGAAGTTTAAAGAAGACATTTCCAAAAGGGATGAATTCCACTTTAAAACTCCTGTACGCTCATGTCCATGTTTTGTGTACAGTCAAACATCTATATCTTGAACTGAGATATCTGATCATTCGAGATAACAAGTGTTAAATAATGAAAGAATAATTAGGGGAATCCAATCTACTTTCATATTTCTCTATTAATTAAGATATGTTTTCAAGATATCGAAGTTTAACTGTTAGACTAACTAAAGGAATTATTTTGGCTAAAATCATAATTATGAAATACCAGTACCATGGTTTTAAGAACAACGTGTTATTTCTCTTTTTTATGTCTTCCATGGTGTGACATTATACTGTACCTGTGTTATTATTTTTTGCAGGAAGAGCTGATTGATTATGTACAGAAGACATGTTTTGAGAAAATTCAACCAAAGTTACCTCTTTTATTTAAGGAATTTCCAAAATCTAAACTGAAGTAAATTAGTCTGTGTATCTCCGTCTCTGTTTTTCCTTCTTTCTCTTTCTGGTTGTTGATGAATATAGCTTTTATACATTTGAATTCTTTATTAAAGAAGTCTTTGACTTTTGCAATGCTTATAAATCAAAGTGTACCAGTGCTTGTATACAGATAAAAAAAGATCCATTCCATTTATAATCAGAAGTCTAAAGCTTGAAATGCACAGCGATTTAATTTGCATCTCTTTCTTATTCAAATTCTAAACAGTACAGTAAACTTGATTTTACTGAGACATACCATTTTTATTAACATTAGGATAGAGGCCACTCCGCCCCTTATGGATGGTGGAGCATTGGCGTTCTACATGAGTGGGTCCCCTGATGGAACTAGGCCTGGTGTGTACTACATTAGTACATCTAACTTGCCTGGAAGGTAATGATACAAAATGTCTATATATTGGTTGTACTACATCAGTACATCTAATTTACCTGGAAGGTAATGATATAAAATGAATAGATATGTGGTGTAATATATCAGTAATCTAACTTACCTTGAAGGTAATGATCGTAAAGGTACTTGGACACAGATTTGAAGTTGATATTTTCTGTATAATATCACGAATTATATATTTTAACAGCATTTCACACAAAAATCAATTAAAAATCTTATTTCATTTAAAAGTTATTAAAACTTTATATTTTTAGCGGGTTTGATTGACACACCCTTGCACGTTCACAAAGAATGGAGGCGTACAAGGAAAGGACAATCCCCCGCTCTGAGAAAAGATATTTTTCAATTCTAAAAGTTATATCTTTCAAAATTATATTGTTTAATCATCTCTTACACATTTAATTCTGTGTTCAAAATTATAAATGGCTTTATGTGGGGTGTTTATTTCAATACACCTAACTTTTCTGGAAGATAATGACACAACATGTCTATACATTGGGTGTACTAGATCGGTACAGATGACCTACCTGGAAGGCAATGATACAAAATGACTTTACAAAAGTGTAATACAATATGTATTAGTACATCTATTACTTGGAAAAACTTACTAGATATTACAATATACAAGTACGCTTAACCAAAGGGTAAGATTTTTAAGGAAAATTAATAGAAAAATACTGAAGAACTTAGTTAAAATAAAATTTTTGACTGAAGTCTGTTCTCAGTTTATGGTCTTACAGCGTGGTGTGTACATCACTTTACATTTTACATGCTGTATGATACATGTAAATAATTCTTAATAATTTTAATTTTTGAAAGCCAATTGATTATTTACCATTGTTGATTTTAAAACACAAAATGTATGCATGAAAATTAATCCATTGCTTTGCAATAATACATCATGTATCATCAGATATTTTTATTTAAAAGTTATTTAAAGTAATTAAGTGTTACTTTCATGTACTTATTTTTTCGATTCCTGTTTTAATTTTGTTTTAAATAGCTTCTATTTAAATTCCTATTTAAGTGTACATTGCAAATATCACTGAGATAATTGTGTACTCTAAACTGTTTGATTAGTCAGTAACATTGTCTTGAAATCCATGAACAGAAATTGTTCTATAATCATCCATTTTTCAGTCCAAAATATGAACTACCAGCTTTGAGTTTACATGAAGGAGAGCCTGGACATCATTTTCAGGTCAGTATCTGTTAAAAGTATCTGAGAAAAAAGTGTCACGATATTCATGAAGTAGATACGTTGTACTTTTTGCATCAAATATTGAAGCAAGAGTTACTTTTTTGTTTCAATATCATACATGTTTTGAAGAAGAATTGATCTGATTCATTATCACTATTTTAATGGGTATCATATCAATATTCCGGACCCTAATGAAACCCAAAGGGACCCAAATGGAATCCAAATGGACCCAAATGTTCTTACTTATTCAAAATATTGAAAATAGTGAACTTTTAAAACAAAAGGAGAATATTTTAAGGACAGATGATACAAAAAATGGATGCCTTGATTGGAATATATTTTTTGGCCTAATTTAATTGCAAATGATGCAAATAATAATTTCTAGAATATAAAGAAATTGTAAACCTTCTGTGATGTTCAAAAGTGTGCCCTTCTGAAACCATCCTTATTAATCTATACAAATATTTTTCATTTTAAATTCCATTTTTGTACAAATTTGATTAATAAAGTGCCCCGCCACAGCATGATACGCCCGTCAAATATTGTTCAACAATCATAAATTGTTTAGGTTGCAAGAAAATCAGGTAACCTTCATTAACAGATTGACACAGATTTCAATGATCTGATTTCCATTGCTTATTATGTTTGAAATATTCATCTCTAAGAGACTTACAGTGTAGGAATTAATTATAACAAATAATTCATCATATAATTCCAAACTGGCTGTGTTAGAACTTGACAAATATCCATCTGCAGCTTTAAATTGTTTATTGCATATTTTATGAAATAATGGATTCGAAATGTCTAATGAAAAATAAAAAAAAAATTAATTATTCTTTAGACTTTATATGACATGACTGCAATTTGTTGCAAATATGTAAAAAATGAAATGTACTTTTTTTTAATGAACACATGTATTATTAGTTTTAATTATATTATACAATACTAATTGAGTTTTAATTATTACACTAAAGCATCAATTTGTTTTAATTACATTACACCAATTGAGAGATCTTTATCTGGGCTAATTGGCCATCAAGAACTCTTAACACAAGCAACTATGAGGCCATTTCTTTTTGCCCACCCCCAAGAGATAAATTAAGATAACAGCTGCATGATCAGACCTAGAGATGCTCTTAGACTACCAGCTAGCTCCTTACAATAAACTCATTAATTTCTCTCTAATTTGAAATGCAAATTTCTGCTATCAAAATTCTTCTACCCGTCTACCCAAGAAGTATCAGTTAACTAAGTTTGATAATCCTATGCCTAATAGTATTCAAGTTATGAGGCAGACCAGAATGGTCAGCTAAATGGACGAACATGAAGCCTATTACATAATATGTCCCGTCTTAAGACGGGCGTATAAAAAATTAAAAACTACGCGGTGAAATTTATTCATTTTATTCATTTAAACATGACCCAAGTTGTAATTTTCAAATTCTTTGAAAAAATTTGATTGTATCATCTGTCCTTAATACTATTTTTTCTTAAATTGTAATCCAAAT